TCAGTTTGATGCCCTTGTTTGATCGTTTTGATGCCCTTGTTTGATCGTTCTGAAGTCCTTGTTTGATCGTTTTGATGCCCTTGTTTGATCGTTTTGATGCCCTTGTTTGATCGTTTTGATGCCCTTGTTTGATCGTTCTGAAGTCCTTGTTTGATCGTTTTGATGCCCTTGTTTGATCGTTTTGATGCCCTTGTTTGATCGTTCTGAAGTCCTTGTTTGATCGTTTTGATGCCCTTGTTTGATCGTTTTGATGCCCTTGTTTGATCGTTTTGATGCCCTTGTTTGATCGTTGGCTTGAAGGTACTTGTTTGATCGTTTTGATGCCCTTGTTTGATCGTTTTGATGCCCTTGTTTGATCGTTCTGATGCCCTTGTTTGATCGTCCTGAAGTCCTTGTTTTATCGTTTTGATGCCCTTGTTTGATCGTTTTGATGCCCTTGTTTGATCGTTCTGAAGTCCTTGTTTGATAGTTTTGATGCCCTTGTTTGATCGTTCTGAAGTCCTTGTTTGATCGTTTTGATGCCCTTGTTTGATCGTTTTGATGCCCTTGTTTGATAGTTTTGATGCCCTTGTTTGATCGGTCTGAAGTCCTTGTTTGATCGGTCTGAAGTCCTTGTTTGATCGGTCTGAAGTCCTTGTTTGATCGGTCTGAAGTCCTTGTTTGATCGGTCTGAAGTCCTTGTTTGATCGGTCTGATGCCCTTGTTTGATCGGTCTGAAGTCCTTGTTTGATCGTTTTGATGCCCTTGTTTGATAGTTTTGATGCCCTTGTTTGATCGGTCTGAAGTCCTTGTTTGATCGGTCTGATGCCCTTGTTTGATCGTTTTGATGCCCTTGTTTGATAGTTTTGATGCCCTTGTTTGATCGGTCTGAAGTCCTTGTTTGATCGTTTTGATGCCCTTGTTTGATCGTTTTGATGCCCTTGTTTGATAGTTCTGATGCCCTTGTTTGATCGTTCTGAAGTCTTTGTTTGATCGTTCTGAAGTCCTTGTTTGATCGTTCTGAAGTCCTTGTTTGATCGTTCTGAAGTCCTTGTTTGATCGTTCTGATGCCCTTGTTTGATCGTTCTGAAGTCCTTGTTTGATCGTTCTGAAGTCCTTGTTTGATCGTTCTGAAGTCCTTGTTTGATCAGTCTGATGCCCTTGTTTGATCATTTTGATGTCCTTGTTTGATCATTTTGATGCCCTTGTTTGATCATTTTGATGTCCTTGTTTGATCATTTTGATGCCCTTGTTTGATCGTTCCGATGCCCTTGTTTGATCGTTCCGATGCCCTTGTTTGATCGTTTTGATGCCCTTGTTTGATCGGTCTGAAGTCCTTGTTTGATCGGTCTGATGCCCTTGTTTGATCGTTTGAGATGCCCTTGTTTGATCGGTTTGATGCCCTTGTTTGATCGGTTTGATGCCCTTGTTTGATCGTTCTGATGCCCTTGTTTGATCGGTCTGAAGTCCTTGTTTGATCGTTCTGATGCCCTTGTTTGATCGTTTTGATGCCTTTGTTTGATCGGTCTGAAGTCCTTGTTTGATCATTTTGATGCCCTTGTTTGATCGTTTTGATGCCCTTGTTTGATCGGTCTGAAGTCCTTGTTTGATCGTTTTGATGCCCTTGTTTGATCGTTCTGATGCCCTTGTTTGATCGGTCTGAAGTCCTTGTTTGATCGTTCTGATGCCCTTGTTTGATCGTTTTGATGCCCTTGTTTGATCGGTCTGAAGTCCTTGTTTGATCGTTCTGATGCCCTTGTTTGATCGTTCTGATGCCCTTGTTTGATCGTTCTGATGCCCTTGTTTGATCGTTCTGATGCCCTTGTTTGATCGGTCTGAAGTCCTTGTTTGATCGTTCTGATGCCCTTGTTTGATCGTTCTGATGCCCTTGTTTGATCGTTCTGATGCCCTTGTTAGATCGGTCTGAAGTCCTTGTTTGATCGTTTTGATGCCCTTGTTTGATCGTTTTGATGCCCTTGTTTGATCGATCGTTTTGATGCCCTTGTTTGATCGATCGTTTTGATGCCCTTGTTTGATCGATCGTTTTGATGCCCTTGTTTGATCGTTTTGATGTCCTTGTTTGAGCGTCACGTCAGCCACTGACGTCTGGACGTCAGTGGCTGACGTGACGAGTGGCTGACTGTGATCGCTGATCTAGTTGAGCGAAGAAGAATCTGATTTGTGTATTAAAAGACAAAATTCCATTTAAGTTTATTGAGCGGAAATGTCGTCCTCATTTGGCCATTTGTTTGTTGATTATTTATCTTTATCGGCGACCCACTAATTATTTTGTGACACATAAACCCTGTATCCAGCACGTGTCATGTCTGGATGACACAGGAAGGGGGGGGGGGGACTTCCGCCCCCCTCGAGGTGAGGGGCCTCGTAGCCTGGTGGATAGCGCGCAGGACTCGTAATTCTGTGGCGCGGGTTCGATTCCCGCACGAGGCAGAAGCAAATGGGCAAAGTTTCTTTCACCCTGAATGCCCCTGTTACCTAGCAGTAAATAGGTACCTGGGAGTTAGTCAGCTGTCACGGGCTGCTTCCTGGGGGTGGAGGCCTGGTCGAGGACCGGGCCGCGGGGACACTAAAGCCCCGAAAATCATCTCAAGATAACCTCAAGATAACCCCTCTCCCCCAAGCCATCAAATCACACCACAAACATGTCGTTACCTCTAAGACACTCCACTAAGTGCCGTCAACAGCTAACAACGTCGTCAAAACGTGTGGGCATGAGGGGCCTGACGGCTGAGTGGACAGCGCTCGGGATTCGTAGTTCTAAGGTTCCGGGTTCGATCCCCGGCGGAGGCGGAAACAAATGGGCAGAGTTTCCTTCACCCTGATGCCACCTGTTCACCTAGCAGTGTAAATAGGTACCTGGGAGTTAGACAGCTGCTACGGGCTGCTTCCTGGGGGTGTGTAACAAAAAAAGAGGCCTAGTCGAGGACCGGGCCGCAGGGACCCTAAGCCCCGAAATCATCTCAAGATAACCTCAAGTAGATATATTACATAATAAGTTTACAGATACGGTACACTGTACTCTACGTATAGACTTTCACGCTTGGTACCTGAAGCCTATCAAAGGAGGAAGTCCACTACGGGCTCACCATAGCCCGTGCTGCTTGGAACCTATTGTTCCAAGTAGCGAATCTTAAACAACATATCAAAGGAATAAAATCTAAACGTGCGGGCGATGAGTCACAATAACGTGGCTGAAGTATGTTGACCCGACCACACACTAGAAGGTGAAGGGACGACGACGTTTCGGTCCGTCCTAGACCATTCTCAAGTCGATTGTGTTGACCAGACTAGAAGGTGAAGGGACGACGACGTTTCGGTCCGTCCTGGACCATTCTCAAGTCGATTTTCTATTGACTTGAGAATGGTCCAGGACGGACCGAAACGTCGTCGTCCCTTCACCTTCTAGTCTGGTCAACACAATCGACTTGAGAATGGTCTAGGACGGACCGAAACGTCGTCGTCCCTTCACCTTCTAGTGTGTGGTCGGGTCAACAAAATCTAAACGTCATATTTCTTAACTGTTCATTATTCCTCGTGTGTGTTATCTTGAGGTTATCTTGAGATGATTTCGGGGCTTTTTAGTGTCCCCGCGGCCCGGTCCTCGACCAGGCCTCCACCCCCAGGAAGCAGCCCGTGACAGCTGACTAACACCCAGGTACCTATTTTACTGCTAGGTAACGGGGGCATAGGGTGAAAGAAACTCTGCCCATTGTTTCTCGCCGGCGCCTGGGATCGAACCCAGGACCACAGGATCACAAGTCCAGCGTGCTGTCCGCTCGGCCGACCGGCTCCCACCCAGGTGTGGGTGGACTGATTTTAAACATTGAAATCGAAACTAATATTTCCAATGAGATGTGTCGGTCTTGATGAAAAAGAAACTCTGTTATTTGCGTAAACTCTGTGTATTTGCGTAGCGGATTGCCTTAGGCGTAAAATCTTTTTTGAGATATATACAAGAGTTGTTACATTCTTGTAGAGCCACCAGTACGGCGTAGCGTTTTCGGGCAGGTCCCTGGAATACGATCCCCGCCGCGAAGAATCGTTGTTACAACCAAGTACTCATTTTACTGTTGAGTTAAACAGAAGCTACAGTTAAGGATTTGTGGCCTAGTTAATCCTCCCCCGGCCAGGATACGAACCCATGACATAGCGCTCGCGGAACGCCAGGCGAATGTCTTACCACTACACCACGGAGACTGGTAATCTAGATTGATTGTAAATCTAGATTGAAATGTGGGGAAAGTTATTGAGAGAGGAATATAAGCGCTGTATCGTATATTACAGTACCCCTCACTGTACCGTATAGGCCTGTAGGAGAGAAATATTATTATTTATGCCAATATTAATTTATTTTGTTTTAAAATACACTGTATATAAATATATAATAAGTGTAATGATTTAACGTATTCCCGTAGTATAGTTGGGTTTTTTCTCGACTTACACTCCAGGATTCCGGGTTCGAATCCCTGGAGGGACAGAAATGGTTGGGCACGTTTTCTATCACCAGATGCGACTGTTCACCTAACAGTAAATAGGTGGTACCCAGGAGTTAGGTAACAGTTGTTGCATCCTGAGGAGTGTCAGTAGTTCGGCCTTGGTGGGAACATCGATATAAGCTTAACATGTATATACATATACACACTGGCTGCCTGTCCCCCCAACGCAATGAATGATTACGATTATATAATGCAGAGAGGAGAGCGCAACGACATCCTCCCATCATGGCTTGACCAGGATAACTGAGGACGACGCTGCCGAGCACAGTTTATATATGTGTCGTACGTCAGGCAGCGATGCGGCCCCAGCTCTGGCTCACCTCCCTCTTGAATTCCCATTTTCAGTTGGAGGTTGGGAGTGGTCGAGGGTGGAGGTGTTGTGCTGCTCTATAGGGCGGCACTTACTGAGGCAGACTGAGCAACTCGTGCAAGTGCATTAAAGTGATATCGAGTGGGGGGAAAAATGCATTTATTACGGTTGATTCGTCTGTCGCAATAGCCCTTTCTAAGAGCACTTTCCTCTCTTGTGCCATATTCGGAAAAAAAGGGATTTTATATTATTATTTTCAAAATTTCGCGAGGAAATGAAAAGGTGACTTGATTAGCGGGAACCTTGGAGTAGAGGCTACTTGAGATGGATAATCTAAAATCAGGAAGCTCTACTCTGTGACTTTGGCCGTTCAAGAGGTTCCTCTTCCCGATAACGCCAAGATGGACTTTATCATTCAAAAGGTAGGTAGCGTAGAGAGAAAAAAAAATAAACTATGAAGCTTCAAGATTTCCTTTTTTTCTGCCTCACAAGACAATGAGAGATCTTTATTATTTTTATTAATATTTTCCCTCTGTCATTGCCTCCTGGAGGGAAGGGGGGTTTCAGGGGAAAGCGGCAAGCCGGCTATATAGCAGTGGGAAAGGATGTGGGATGGGACGGAGGGAAAGGAATTGTGCGGCCAAAGAGTATCCAGCAGCGTTCTTTCAGGGCGTTAGCCAGCTTAGCAAGGCCACTGGCGCCCTTGGCAGGCGTGCGTATAGGAGGAGTTTTATATAAGGCGCTGGCGAAGAAACATTAAATTCGAGCATCCAAGGAAACCATTTCTTCCTCTCGAAGGCGTATCGAAGGAGGATTTCTTGAACCAGTTTGGTGGTGGGATGTTGGTGATCGTTGTGGGGTAATGGTTGTTAATGGTGGTGATTAATAATTGATGTTAATCAGTGCTGCTGTTGATCGTTACTGATGATCGATGTGGTTGTTATTGGTTGTGGACGGTGTTGTTGATCTAGGTTATAAATACTTGACCATCAATGACTAGTGAGAAGTGTAAGGGCTAGATCTTACATTTTGTTAGGCCCCGCCCACTACCCCTTATATATATATATATACCTGTTGCGTTATAATTGGACTATTCGAACGTTCAAATTCTTTGTCGAATCTGGCCTTCAAGTTGTGAATGGCGTCAGCCCGTCCTCATCAAGAATCCCCAAATGCTAGTAATTAATCCAGCACAATGAATTAAAATAAATGGAAAACTGTTTACACAAGACTCGCCACCGATGTGTATAATTTCCTCGAGCTGTGATTCGCTGACATCTTGTTAATCTTCTTGTTTGAGGAGCTGTTCACTTGAGACAGTTAAGCAAGTCCCACCTGTGTCTGGG